TTTATGTTTCCAATGGTTCCAATTCTGACGTTATTAATGATGTTTTGGGCAGACAAGAGAAGATAAGGATTATCACCAAGTTAAGAGTTGGTCACCCACTCATCAAAATAATAAAAGGTTATACTATACTTGTTTGACATACCATTAGTGGATCCTCTAACCTTGACATTTTTTGTTATCATTGTTTAATCCTTATGTTAATTTTCCATCTCAAAGTTCTCATCAATTTCTTCTTCTTTTTTTTCTTCTTCTTCTATTATTATTATTATTGTTATTGTTATTACTACTACTACTACTACTACTACTACTACTACTACTACTACTACTATTATTACTATTATTAGTAGTATTATTACTGTTATTATTGTTGTTGTTATATTATTGTTGTTTATATTGGTTCGACCCCAGTCTTGTCGGGTTATTTATTACTTCAACACTCCTACACTTCGAAGAAGACATCAATTTTTTGGTCGTGTCAGTTATGTTTCATCTTTTTGTTTAAGATTTTTGGCATCCACAAGAGCGTTAGGAGATTTGAACACTTGCGATATTTTCAATTGTAGTGGATGTAAATTGACAAAAATTTTCTCTTTACCTTTTAATCAAAGTTTTTTTTTTTGTTTCTTCTTCACCTTTTGATTTGATTCATTCTAATATATAGGGATCTTCTATTATTGCCACAAAAAAGGGGTCATGATATTATGTTTCATTTATTGATGATCATACTTGTTAATGTTTCATTTATTTAATGAAACAACATTATGAATTCTATGAGATATATATAACCTTTCGAGCTCTTGTGAAAACTTAATATTTTACTGTAATCAAATGCTTTAAGTGTGATTTAGGTGGGAAATACACTTCTAATAAAATTTATCAATTGATTATCTTATATGGAACCATTCACTAAACTTCATGTACAGATGCTCCTAAGCAAAAATATGTTGCTGAAAGAATGGTGTTGTTGAAAGAAAGCATAGGTATATTGTCGAAACTACTCATTCTCTTTTGTTTTCTGCTTCTGTTCCTAATGAGTTTTGGGAAGAAGTTGTTTTACTACTATAAAATTGATTAATACAATCCCATCTTTTTATAATTAAGGTTTTTCTTATTTTGAAAAATTATATGGGCATGTTCCTTATTATTCTACCTTTAGAGTTTTTTGTTGTACTTGTTTCATTCTTTATCCCTATGCAAAACACAATAAGTTGTCCTCTTGATCTGCTATTTATGTCTTTCTGGGTTATGATGAAGGTAAAAAGGGATATCATTATTTTGATCCAATAACTTAGAAACTTTATATGCCTCATTATGTTGTCTTTCTCGAGCATATACCTTTCTTTTCTATTCCATCTACTACTCATGGCTTGACTACATCTGATATTATTTGTATAGATCCCTTCTCTAAGGATTCTAATAGTTTATCATCTCAGGTTCCTAGTATTTTAGATACCCCTTCCTATGTTCGACTAATTTATACTCAACATTTTATAGGTACTGATATTTCACTCTCTAGCATACTTGAAGCTTTATTTTCATCTATAGCCTCTCAAGCTTTTTCTTAGATTGTGGATCCACCTCTATGTCAATCCACATGCAATCATAAGTCCATAAAACTGCCAGATTTTATCTATTCTTGTTATTCTTCATCTTTTACTTTCTTTTTAGCTTCTATTCATTCTCTTTGAGCCCTTTTTCTATACAGAGATAGTTCTTGATCCTCTTTGGCAGCAAGTTATAGATGATGAACTTTCTACTTTGTGTAAGACATATATTTAAGATTTGGTTGCTCTACCTCCTGATAAGAGTGTTGTTGGTTGTTGTTAAGTGTACAAGATTAACTCTAATTTTGATAGGTCTATTGAGCGAAACAAAGCTAAATTGGATGCAAAATGATACTCTCAACAGTATGGTATGGATTGTGAGGAGACATATGCCCCTATTACAAAAATAATTACTATTCATACTCTTATTGTTGTAGTTTCAATTCATCAATGACATATCTCACTACTTGATGTTAAAAATGCCTTCTTGAATAGAGATCTTTAGAAGAAGTTTATATGACGCCTCGTTCTAGTGTTTCACATGACTCTAGTTATGTACGTAAGCTCAAGAAAGTGTTATATGGTTTCAAACAAGCTCCTCGTGCTAGGTTTGAGAAGTTTTCTATTTTGATCTCATCTTTTACATCTGTTTATAGTAGTCATGACTGTTTGACTACTTTTTATGATCGACTTGTTTTAACTCGCAAGTGCATGAGTGTGCGATGTAGCAATTAACTCGGTAAGATCGAGGTCATATCCACAGAGAGCTAGATCTGGAAATTAAGCTAAGTAACAAAAAAAAACTCAAGAGAAATTAAATTAACAATAACTTGGTTGAAAATAATTGATGGATGTGTTTGCAAAGAGAAAAAAAATGTAAATAGATTTGAAA